TTCTGCGCAGCTCATCATTTCTGCCCCTTCTAAACGCATTGCAACCAGCAGAATCATGCCAGGACACCTCGTTTTCCTAACCCTAACCCTACCCTGGTGCACACCCCTAACCCTAATATAGGGCGAAAGTTCCACTGAAGAGAGGGCAATTTTGAAAAAGCCTTCCTCGAGCAGCTTTTTCTGCACAGCTCATCATTTCTGCATCTTCTAAACGCATTGCAACCATCAAAATCATGCCAGGACACCTCGTTTTCCTAACCCTAACCCTACCCTGGTGCACACCCCTAACCCTAATATAGGGCTAAAGTTCCACTGAAGAGAGGGCAATTTTGAAAAAGCCTTCCTTGAGCAGCTTTTTCTGCACAGCTCATCATTTCTGCCCCTTCTAAATTGCATTGCAACCAGCAGAATCATGCCAGGACACCTCGTTTTCCTAACCCTAACCCTACCCTGGTGCACACCCCTAACCCTAATATAGGGCGAAAGTTCCATTGAGATGAGGGATTTTGAAAAAGCCTGCCTTGAGCAGCTTTTTCTGTGCAGCTCATCATTTCTACCCATTCTAGACACATTCCAATCATCAAAATCATGCCAGGGCCCCTCATTTTTCTTACCCTAACCCAGTGATGGCAAACCTTTTAGAGACCAAGTGTCCAAACTGCAACCCAAACCCCACTTATTTATCGCAAAGTGCCAGCACTGAAATAAAACCTGAAACGGCCTGTTCAAACAAATATAAATATATCCTTGGCAACGCACTGATCAGCCATGTGAAAGCTCAGACGAGTGGCAGCTCATGAGTCGCGGCTCATGACATCATCGCCTGGCGCCGCTACTCCTTTCCGAGCACGCGCAGGGCCCCCATGTGCGCTGTTACCCGATGCTCGGCTGCTGGGGCAATGCTGGGGGGACTTGGCTCACGTGTCGACAGTGAGGGCTCTGCATACCCTCTGTGGCTCGCGTGCCACAGGTGATCCACCACTGGCTTAGACTGAAGACGGCCATGGCTAGAAGAGCCCATGGCCACAGAAGCTGAGCACCTGCGAACCTACGATGCACATCAGAACGGGAATTTTGCTCTTCCAGCATTTCACGTTCTGAAATGTGTCGCCCGAGTTCCAAGGAATGTGCTGTACAAACACCGCCCATCCCAGAACACGTCGGCGTCACGGAATTCCACACCGTGCGGAATTGCCAGGAGAGGGGCAAGGCGGAAGCTTCTCTCGGGTTCCACTGCAGGAACGAACAGCGGGGGCCTACCTTGTCCTCCGCACCGCCACCGCTGGGGAGGATGTCCACCTGAATCGACACCGTGTCCACAATGCTCTTCCTCCGGGACAGCCGGTCCTCATCTGCACACAGGAGGAACAAAAACGAGCCCTCGCCTCATTGTGGGAGGGCATGGGAAGGGAGCCCCCCTGCAGACGCTGGCACTGCCCACACCTCTCCGTTAGGAGACCGGGGGGCCACACTCGGGCTTAACGAAATATATGTGCCCACGCGGATTTTAGTCACTGCTTTTCAGTTCTCCTCCTACATCCAGAGTTCAGGATTTCCAAGAAAAGTTGTGGAAGGACAGGCGGGGCAATGATTCTGGCAGCCCTCTGTCGAATGGGACCGCCACACGAGTGGTGAACTGATACTCAGCTAGAGCGCCAAGACGAGCAGGCCATGCTGTGAGGGGAGGACGGGTGCAGAAGGAAAGCTCCGGGAGCAGAGCTGCGGGTGCCTCTGCTGTCCACCCGCCTGGAGGCCCGTGGCAGATAACTGGGCAGAAGGCAGGCAGGCGCGCGGGCCTGCAGGTGCGGTCAGATGCCATGGCTCACCTGTCACCTGGGGCACGTAAGGTACAGAAAGCCTCTCCACACTATACCCGCTGCCGCCCAAAGATTCAGCGATCTTGTGAGTCAGGAAAAACAAGTTCTTGTCATCCTTGTCCAAGGTTTTGGGAAGACTGCAGAAAGCAAAGAGAAATTAAAAGAGGCACTCCGACTGGGACCCGTGGCGAAATGCTGCCAGGGGCGCTGCTCCCGCCGGGCTTCCCACCAGCCGCCCCATCCTCCCGGGCAAGCCGCTCCATCGCCCTCCTCCCCAAGAGCCACCATCGCGTGTCGCCTGAGCATCCGCAGTGCTGGACTGGGTGTGGGACTTCCCTCTTTGGGTCTGGCCCCAAAGTTTTTAAAATTCTGCAAATCTTGGGGCTCCCGAGTGTGGTGTTCCTCCCTCTTGTGCGTGGATCGTGTCCTGCTGGCCCGAAAAGGACCGGCGCTTGGAGGAGGAGGCCGGTGTTAACGGAGAGTGGCGGGGTGGAAAAATCTGGCCCCGCGGAGCCTGTGCCTACGCCTGCCCCTTGGGCGTTCCTGGGGGTGGCCGTGCCCGCCCCCCCGGCCATCATTTGCTGGGTTTTCCACCTCTGTGAGGATGCTTCCCCCATCCCAACAGGCAGAAATGCCTCACCTAAAAATTTGTGGGACAGTCTGACGCTAACCCTGCCTGCTGGCGGTGGCAGCTCCCGAGCCCTTCTCTGAAATGGGATTCAGGCCTCGGGCTGATAGAGGGTCGGCAGAGCGGACCCACAGGCCGCAAAGGTCTGCGTTCCTCCGCTTTCCTGCAGTGAAGCGAATCCCGCCTCTGGCTGCCGAGAGGATCCATTTGGACGCAGCAAAGGGGGAAAGATGCGCTCAGGCTGCCAGAGAGCAGCCGGGCCCCACGCGCACCTGCTCCGGGCACTCTTCCCAGGCCTGCGCAAGCGTCACCTTCCATTTTGCCCCCCCAGTGCACCCACCCAGCACCCATTTACCTGCACTTGTCCCGGAATACGGTTTCTGGCAGAAAGTACGGCGCTTCCATAGTTCTCGTTTCAATGACCTGAAGAGCAGAAACATAATCAGGTGCGCTGAACGGGGCGACTCCCGCCTTCTGGGGCTGGATTCATTCCAACAGCGGGCAAACAGCCGGTTTTGCTAATCCTAAGTCGAGAGCGTCTGCGGACATCCCTGCTGTGGTGCAGCCCCTCAGAGGAGAGCGCGCGTGGATGCGTCTGACATGCACCCCGAGAGGTGCCCCCTGCACCCAGCCCAGGCTCAGCGGCCTTGCTGTGCGCTTAACTCCCGCGAGGACAGCGCGGGGGGGGCTGTCTCCAGGGGAGGGGACCGGCCCTCGGGCGAGGGCCAGAGGCAGGGGAGGCACCGCCACACGGCCAACCGCGCGCGCGGCCAGAGGACGCTTCCGGGGGGCGTGGCGGACCCTTCCCAGTGCGCGGGGGGGCGGGGGGCACGGCCACGCACCTTGCTGACGTGCTGGCAGAAGGCCGGGACGGCGATCATCTGGCTCAGGAAGTTGAGGTACGCGGCAACCAGGGCCATGATGCTGCAGCGGCTGAACATGGGCAGGCTGTCCTCGTTGAGGATGGCGACGTCCTTGGGCAGGAGAGAGGGGCCGTCGTGCGGGCCGAGGATGCCGCCAGCGCGGGTCCCCGGAAGCGCTAGCCCAGAGGTGCGCGCGGCACACCACCTGCGCTCCTGGCAGAAGCACCCGGCCGAGGGAGGGGCACGGCTGCCTACCTGCAAGGCGATGGCCAGGCGGATGAGGTCCGTGACCACCTCTTCGTTGGCGAGCTCAATCGTGATCAGCGCCAGCGACGTGTAGAGCAGCTCGAAGTTCTTGTGCACGTTGTCGTCCTCCTTGCAGCCCAGGTAGACGTGCCTGTAGAGCTGCTGGCCGTGCTGCGGACGGCGGGGAAGGAGGCGGCCGGTGGAGGCTGGGAGGGAGTGGCGTGGCCGGGAGAGCCCGCAGCACCCTCTCCCACGCGCTCGTGACCAGCGCGTAACCTCCTCCCTGGCGGCGACCTCCCGCACCCCGGCCGACCCCACACCAGCCGCTTCCGGAAGCCTCTGCTGCTGCCCCACATCCCCCCCTGCGTCTCCCAGGAAGCGAGGGCCAGGCAGCACCGAGGCCTCTGCCTCAGGCTAGACCAGGCTGGGCCAGGCGGCACTCCCGAGGCGGCGGCGGCGTGTGCTCCTGCGGAGCCCCGCTCTGACAACGCCCCATCTCTGTCCTCCTCAGCGGCTCCCTCTCTCATTTGTCCAGCCGCGTCTCATCACCTCCCTCGGCCCAGCAGGAGCCCCCTGCTGTCGTAACGGGAAACACCTGCAAGCAACCTCACCGCCCCGGCCCCTCCTGTGAAAAGCAGCTCGGCTCGGCGTGCACGGCTGATGCCTGCTGGACACCCACACAGCCGCCCGGTCGGGCCAACAGGGTCCGGCCCAGGGAAGCGGCAGCTGCTCCGCCTGTTTGCAGGTGCCTCAGTGGGGTGCGGCCAGCCCATTTCAGCAAGTTATCCAGGGATGCAGAAACCACCAGGTGAAGGGAAGGGGGTTGCTAGGAGGGCTCTGTAACCGACAACGAACCCATCCTTGCTCTTACCTTCTTCATGAAGCTCACATCCTGCCGTGAAATTTTGTCTCGCTTTATCTTCAGATCGGACACATCAGGTATTATTCTGGAAATGGAACAGAGTGATCGTTTACTTCGCAAATAACCTCCGTCGTAATCACCGTGGCTGTGAGGAGAAGAGGCTGTTCACAGATTTATACTTTGTCATCTTCACTTCTTCTCTCTCATAGAAGAATAGAAACAGCGAGTCAGAAGGGGCCTCCCGGGCCACCTAGCCTGACCCCCGGCTCCAGCCAGCTCCGCTCACGACATGCCTGCCATGTGCATGTCCAGCCTGTCCTTGAACTTTCGGTTTAGTGTCAGGTGAGGCTGCCTAATGCGAAGTATTACTTATAACTCGGCACGCCCCACCTGATTCCTCTGAGCTTTGCTCGGTTGTCATGCCGATCGATAAGATTGTGCAGTATTTCCAGGACCAGCTGCCGGAGCTCGCAGTCTTCCATGAGTGAGGAGGAGAGCAGGGGATCGAGAAACGGCGCCGAGAGGACAGTCACGATGCTTTTGGCGTTGTAGCCGGAGGTGACCTGCCGAGCGGGTGAAGTCGAGAGCCCACGGCACCGATGAAGCACCATCCGCGACACTCGGACCAGCGGCGGCCGGGCCCGCGGGCACGCCCCTCACGCAGACCAAACTGGCCCTCGCGATCCTGGCCCCCGGCCCCGGAGGACCAGGCCAGCGCCCCACAGTAAGGGGCTCTGCACACAGTAAGGCTCAGGCGCCCTGCCGGGAGCTGTGGGTGCCACGGCGGGAGGCCTGGAGCGTGGCCTGGGAGGCCCGCCCACCCCTCCTGGCCCCACGGACCTGGTGCACAGGCCCCCTCCGCCCAGGCAACGCCCGACATGGCGGGAGGGGCGGGGCCTGCGTGGCCCACACGGCCCGCCCCTTCACGGGCAGCAGGCCACGCGGAGCTGGAATGGGAGGATGCGAGTGCAAGGAAGCCCCCCTCGCACCGGGGCCCTGGGGCGCGTCGGCGTGCGGCTCCCCCGTCCCCGGCCAGCTGGCCCTCTGCGCCTGCGAAGGCCGCCGTGCCCCGCCACGGCCCACCCCCAGGGGCCGGCTCACTTACCATCAGCAGGGAGCGCAACAGCATGGCCTGAACCCTCCGCGTCCCCAGGGCGCTGGGGAGAGAGGGCGGCGCGATGAGCACGGCGAACGCGGGCACGGGAGCGCCTCGGCCCCCGTGGGCAGGGGGCAGACGGGCACCCACTGGGAATAGTCCAGGGGCTATTCCCAGGCCAAGCCGGGCTGCGGCTGCGGGCACCTGCCCGTACTGCTCTCTGCGCCGTGGCCTCGCAGCGTGAGGTGCCGGGCCCCAGCGCGGGCGGGCGGGCAGGCAGGCAGGCGGCCTTGGGGCACACTGGGCACTTGGGGGCAGAGCAGCACTCCTCCGCAAGTCCAGTGCCAGGAGCCCCGAAGGTGGTGGTGGAGAGCCACCAGCCTGGAGGGCTTTCAGAGGGGATCAGACAGACTCCCAGAGGAGGGGCGGGCTCTCCGTGGCTCCTAGCCCTGTGGGCCACGTGCCTCCTCCTCCACCAGAGGCAGCCGCCTGCACACACAGGTTACCGAGGGGCGCGGGAGGCCCAGCGCTTGCACGCAACCTGCTTGAAGGGTCCTGGGAGCAGCTGCTCTGCCACCGTGTGCACCTGGTGCGGGACAAGGTGGTCTCCGGCCTGACCCTGCAGGGCTTCACAGAACAGCAGAGCTGGCAGGGGCCATGAAGGCCCTCAGGCCCAGCCCCTGCTGGTGCAGGGCACCACGTCACACCACCCCGCTCAGGGGGCTGCCCAGCCTCTTTCTGGATGCCTCCAGCGTGGGAGAGCCCCCCCCCCCCCCCGGGGCAGCTGGTCCCGCTGTCGCATCGCGCTGACAGTGAGGAAGCTCTTCCTGATGCCCAGCCTGATGCTCGTCTTATGCTAACTCCGTGATCCTGCTCCTCCTGAACTGAGCAGCACCCCACACACGTGCCCCTCCTCTCCCCCCACAGTCCAAACAGTGCACTGGGAGTTCCTCGGGACAGAGGCCTGTCTTTTGGGGCTCACACAACCCTTTAAAACGCCAAGGGAAGCATGGCTTATGCGTAAGCAGTGTCCCAGCAGCTCTCTGAACGTCCTGGAAGAAGAAAAGGGACAGGGGGAAAGGCAGGCACCCGAGCTGGCTGGTGTCCAGGGTCTGGGTCGACATCCCAAACACGGGGACTTTCCCCATGACAAACATCATAATCTCGGACCGCTGGTAATCCGGAAGGTTGCTCCCAAAGAAACCTGCAGGACAGAAAGGAATGGGAGGAACAGGGAACCACCTGCTGCCCCACCGCTCGCCACGCAGAAAGGCCTCGGAGCTCTGACGGAGCTGGGCCCATCTTGCCGGCTCGTCTCCCTCCCTCATCTTCCGAAAGACCAGCTGCTTTGTGCCAACGAGCCTGAGTCACTTTCCCCGCTCAGACGAGCCCCCACGCTTCATGCGCCACGATCCACGTAGCTGGCAAGGAGCCCCGGCTGCCATCCCCCCGCTCCCCCATCCCCCACACGTCATCCTCGTGGGCTGCAATTAAACCAGTGTCTCCTGGTTCGCACGGAATCTGTGAGCCAACACAGCCAGCGCCCTGTGGGGGGGCGTGGACTGGGGAGGCCCGGTCAACGTCCCCCTCGTCCTGGAGCTTCCTCGGTGCCCCGGGCCGGGGAGGACTTCTCTGCCTAGCTCCCCACACAGGGCTGTTGTGGGGACGAAACGGAAGGGGAGCACGAGGGGCGTCTCACGCCCTTTGCCACAGCAAGGTGACAATGCGGGCATCACCCACCGACAAGGGGTCGCCCCTTCTAGCACGCCCGCGCGGACGGAGCCTCACCGATCGTCTGAATGATGGCGTTCTGGACGATCTTCTCGTCGCTGTCCTTCGAGCGGATGCTGAGGCTGGTGCTGCCCGCCGAGCCGCGCCTGCTGCCCAGCTCGAGATCCACGCTCAGACTCAGGTGCTTCAGCAGCGTGTTGAACACCTCCAGGACGGTTGGGCCTGCGCGACAAGCGGCGCCCGTTTGCGAGACAACCCACCTTTCCCACCGCCCGTGCGGCACGGAAACCAGGAGCCAGGACGGAGGGGCAAGCGGGCTGCCGCCGGAGCCGGAAATCCTGCCTGCGGCCACCTTGGCACACACGCTAAAGAGGGTGGCCGGGGTCAGACTGCGCATGGCGCCTCCCCACCTCGCTGCCCGGGCCGCCGCGATTGGCGAGGAGCACAAGCATTTTCCAGCACATGCTGTCTCTGTCACAAAGGTTCCAAGACCGCAGGTCGGCCTTGACACATTCGCAACACCTCCTCGCTAACGGATCGAACTCTCTTTTAGTGTGCAGCTCACACACCTTGCTCCAAATACACACAGAGAGAAAGAGAGAGAGCGCGCGTGAGAGAGAGAGGGAGAGAGAGAGAGAGAGCGCGGCAGCCAGAAAGTCATAAAACATACAGCCCCAATACAGTAACAATATAGATACAACATCCCATAGCATTTCACTATATACCAGCTCAAACACTTTAAACCAGCCTTCCCCAACCTTGTGCCTTCCAGACACACTTGGACTGCGGAATTCCCCATCAACGGCCCTGCTGAAGGGGAATTCTGGGAGTTGCGGTCCGCACGCCTCTGAAGGCCATCAAGTTGGAGAAGGCTGGTTTAAACAAGTTGAAAACATGTATGTGAAAACTGCACCCATTTAAACAACCGGCAGGTCCCATCATATGCCATGAAATGGCAGGGTTTGGGGAGTAGTGTTAATCTGGTGCCAAAAAGAGCACAGGATGGGCCCCTGGCAGACTTTGGTGGAGGGATCATCCTAGAATTGGGGGCCACCGCCGGGAGGGACCCTGCCCTGGCCGGCACCCCGAGCCTCCCTTTAGAGGAAGGCCTCAGGCATAGATGGTGGGGTCTGGGGAGATTCCAGTGAGGAGAGGCACTGGGGTTGCTCTAATATCATGTTCAGTAGCACCTGAATGTTAAAGGAGCCGCTACACACATCCGGGCTGAGCATCGGCTCCGCTGGCACACGTCTGTCAAGGGCCTGTGTGGGGACGGCTCAGTCTGCAACAGAAAGCTTCCAACCACTGCGAATGGTGGGATGCGCTGGCTACTCCTCCCTCCAACCCGCGTGCTTCCAAGGAGCAGTGGCCCCAGGCCATGGGGCAGAAAGCGCCCTTTCCAGCCCCCCCATTTCGAGACGGGCCCACGCCGCCACACTCACCGATGGACCCCTTTGCCGCGATGGCCACCGCCTCCAAGAGCACCTGGATGATCCCTGCGCGCACTCGGGGGGAATCTCGCTTGCAGCTGTCCAGGTGCCCCAGGATCTCCTGAATTACATGGTGAGAATACTGCGCCTGGGAGGGGGAAGGAAGTGACGCGGCTGGGTTCACACGCCCCAGAACCACAGCGGCCGCTCCGCAGCTGGCCGCCCCCACCCAAGGCCGACAGCGCCCAGTGTGAGCTCGGCATGGTCCTCGCACGCCCGGTCGGTGCTACACAGAAAGCCTCTCCTTGTCCTGCTCACAGGTTCTCCAAGTGAGGCAAGAGGCGTGTGATCCAGGTGAGGGAGGAGGTTCGGTTTGGTTCGGTTCGCAGAAGGAATACCATGAAAGGGAGACCGAAGAAACAGGCAGGGGGGCTGGCAGTGCAGAAAAAGCACTGTTGCAGAAAAATCGCAGGAACGATTTAAAAGAGCAGAAAATACTAGGTTAAGAAGCTGTGTTGAGCCACAGGATCCGTTATCAGTCAGTAAACAAAACAGCAGAGAGGGGTTGTTAGTTTTTACATACATTGAGAAAACAGACAAAGCTATTTGCATATAAAGTATATTTGGAAGGTCAATCCATCAGTCGATGTCAAAAGTGGACTTAAAGTTCTGCTTATGTTAATGGTTGGCAACAAATTAAGAAGTGTATTTCTGTTATAGCTAAAGGTTAAAGGTAAAGGTTTCCCCTTGACGTGAAGTCCTGTCATGCCTGACTCTAGGGGGCGGTGCTCCTCTCTGTTTCCTGGCCGAGGGAGCCGGCGTTTGTCCGCAGACAGTCTCCCTGGTCATGTGGCCGGCATGACTAAACACCAAGGTGCACGGAACACTGTTACCTGCCCACCAAAGTGGTACCTTTTTATTTACTTGCATTTGAATGCTTTTGAACTGCAAGGTCAGCAGGAGCTGGGACGGAGCAACGGGAACTCACCCCATTGTGCAGATTCGAACCGGCGACCTTTCGATCCACCAGCCCAGCAGCACAGCAGTTTAAGCCACTGCGCCACCTGCATCCCTCTCTGTTATAGCTAGAAAACAGTGAAATCTGAACCAGGAATTCTTAAAAACGCACAATTTAGAATAAGGAGCAAGGGGATCTTCCTTATGCCACTGAACGCCTGGGAGTCTAGCTCGCAGGAGGCAAGATGATGCGAGCATCTGGACAGTGCCAAGCCCACATGCTCTCAGCCGAAGCGCCATTTCTGGTCTGTGGAAAGCATTTTGTGATCTGATTACAGGTTTTTTCAAACAGAGTAGCTGTGATGTGTGAACTGGGCCTCATTCTGAACTGGGCCTCATTCTGAAAAGTATTAATCACCAATAGAAGCTAATTGGTAGCTGAAGTCTTCCTAGATGCTGAAGCTGTTGAAATAATGCTCCGCAGAGTCCAGTATTTAACAAGGGTGTCTCATTTTCCTCTGACGTTGCAAACCTGATGTAACAAATCTAAAGGGGCTGATTCCGGCCTTACTTTTTCCTTCATCTTAATAGGCTGAAACATTTTTGTTTAATTATGAAACAAGAACAAAGAGCACTTGCCTGTATCGAGTACATAATGATTTTAAAGCAGTGGACAGCAAATTCATTGGGATCCCACAGCTTGTGATGGTCTAAATGTCTGTTAAAACAAGCAATTATTATTTTATTATTTATGATGCACCTGCCATCAGTTCAGCGTTTTACAAAAATGACACCAGGGAGGCTGATGGGCCGTGCCTTTGCCGGCTTGTCTTAATTTCTCAACAAGCCCTGGTGGGTGTGGGAACGCGGCCCATGACGGCACAGAGAGGGCCAGCTTGGAAGGCCGTTTCCCTCCCTGCTCAGCGGAAACCAGGAGACAATTCTGCGTGCAAAGCGGCTACATTTGCGCTCCACTCCAAAGGGCACCATTTTCTCTGGACACTAAGGCAGGCGAAGCAACTTGTTCAAGGCCACGTCTGAACAGCAACCGCCGTCCAAGTCAGTGCTCTACCCCGTGCGGCGCTGCTCCGACGCTCTGGCTAGAGAGAACCCTCCGCAGGGCTCGCCTCCGGCACACACACAGGGATGGCTGCCGAGGAAGGGCAGCAACACGCAGAGAAATGCAGCAGGTCAGAGACCAACGCTCAGCCCTAGCAGAGCTTTGCCACCTGGACGAAGCTTAATCCCAGCTCCTGGAAAAATCCAGAGCATTTTGGAGGCTTCCGACTTACGCGAAGACTGGCCTGACCGCATTATTCATGTTCCCATAGGTGGCACGGCCCAGCAGTTCTCGGAAGCAGTTCTCAGCCAGCACGGCCGGATTCTCCTCCTTGTCGCCTCCCGTTGGAGAGGAGGGTGGGCCGATGCGGCTAGAACAAAGCACACAGTCGGATACGGCACCCGGGCTTCCACCCCAGAGATCCCAAGAAGCCGAGGGCTTCCACTGCGCCCGGGCTGCCCAAGAAGAGGCCCAGTCAGCGTGCTGCCGCCATGGCGGGAGATGGTGGCCAGAGGCAGGCGGGGCGGGGCCCCGAGACAGACGTACCTGTCCACTTCTTCCAGCTTCTGCATGTTAAAAAGCAGCGAGGGGACAATCTTGTCCATGTGCTGAGGCTCCCAGATGGTCGCCTGGAGCTCGTCGTTCACCGTTTTGCGGACCACTCCCTGGATGCCCCGGATTCCAGCAATACGGATCCTGGCAGAAAAGGCGGAGACATTTCCACGGCACGAAGAAGCAAAGGAACTCGGTTCGAGGCATGCCTGGCCGAAGGGCCGTGGGCCTAGCGAGCCAGCAGCTGCGGCTTTGGAGCAAATGCTTCTGCCCAGGCACAGACTGGCCCGTGTTGACGGACGCCGCACGGGGACGGCCCAGGCGGCCTATGAACCGGAGCCGGCCCAGTTTTGCTCTGGGGCCTCTGACGCGGCTCCTCGACCGGCACGGGCTCCCGCTGCGACGCAAACATGCCCGGTTCCTCCTGCCATGCTTCTCGTGGGCCATTCTGTTTATTTAGAGTCCTAACGGATGATCAGGCACCGGAACCACCGCCTTACCTTCTCTTTAAAATCAGCCCTGCCTTTAAGCTGTGTGGGGAGAAGATGCTGAGCTTGTGGGCCCCCAGCCAAGCCGCGCTCCACAGAGCTGGTCTGCTCTCAAGGGCAAGAGCACAGTGCGCTCGCTTTCGGGCTCTGTTCTGTGTGCACCGTCCGTGGCGCCACAGCTCTCCTTGACCCTGCTCTGCAATCTGAAACGCCTTGACTGAACGCCACGTGCCTCCTGGAATGGCTGCGGAAAGGCCGGCGCCGAGTCTGTACTATGGCTGCTCCCTCCTCGGAGCACCGTGGGCCGCTTACCGCACCGTCAGCGGGAGGGTGCTCGGGGAGAGAGCAATGCGCAAAGACCGCCAGCCCCTGGAGTGGCCAGAGCAGAAGGGGAGCCCTCCTCCCGTTGCTTTCCCACGGAAAACGCAACAGGGTCGGCCTCTCCCACAAATGCAGCCCCGGAAGTGCCCCATGGCAAAGGCCGGTGGTCAGGAGGTGCGCTGTTTCCCACGCCTCCCAGCTGCCCACAGCTGATCAGCTCAGCCTGGGGCCTCCCGTTCCGACACCCACTTGAGTGACTGGCGAGAGGCCCCCGGGCCTGAGCTCCCCGTCCCCCTCTGCAGGTGTGACGATGGCGTAGTCCCCAGCGCTGAGACAATTTGTGGCACAGCTATGAAGGGACTGTGCGTCCTCTCAAAAGACATGGACACACACACGCACGCGCACACACCAGAGCGCCAAGCAAAAAACGGGCCCCACGGCTGGTGAAGAAGCAGAAAGGTTGCAACACAGGCAGGCAGTCCCCGGATTACGAAAACGGAAATGCGCCTTCAATCAGAGTTGCACGTAAATCGGGTCACGTGCAGCCAGCCCTCCACATCTGCCGGGTGGCAGGCGCAGTGCCCCTGTGAAAGTGGGAAAACCACAAATACCCCATCTGAGCCCACCAGGGCCACCTCTGTGCACCAGGGAAGTGCCGGAGGGATTCCCCTCTCCTGATGGGTGGGGCAGAAAGGCACGCTTTGGAGGGGCTCCCTCTCCCCCCTTTCACGTCTGTCTCTATAGTGATGATTTTCTGCAGTATTTTTAAAAAATTAATGGGTTGCATGGCAGTTTGCTCATAAGGACAAGCTGTTCATTACTCGGGTGTTTGAGACTCGGGGACTGCCTGTAATGCTCAATGTTCTGATAACCCTGCTAAGTGGTCGGTTTTTCAGAAGCAGCTTGCCACAAATGGCGCCACGGTTTGCAGAAGCAGTGAAGCTGCAGAGCTGACCTGCTAGAGGAGAGCTGGGCTCAGTTCGCAGCGAGGCGCCTGCCAGGCAGCCTCTGGCGAGCAGGAATGGCTTCCGGTGGGCCGGGCAGGCAACGCTGCACAAGCTCAGGGGAAGCGAGCTCCTCCCTCGGGCCTCTCGAAGGACCAACACAGGCCGGCCGGCCTTGTGGACTCCCCCAATCCAGTCGCATGGCAGCCTCTGCAGCCATGACCCCGTGCGAGCCGCAGCAGCAGCGGGCGGGGATGACTCTGCGCAGGCCCCCGCAGGCAGGCAGCCCCTCCCAGGACGCCCCCCCCCCCCATCCGCTGCTACTCACTCGTTCCGGATTTCCGGGTCGCTGTGGCAGGAATGGCACATGGCACTGAAGCGAGACACGAAGAAGTCGTAGCGCCGGTGATAGGACGGCGTGTCCTCTTCGATGTTGGCGAACTTGACAAACTGCGTGGGGGACGGAGGGGGCGGCGCGGTGAGGGGCAGCTTCGACTTGAGATCGCGCCCAAAGGCTTAGCGCCCAGGGCCCCCCCAGCTGCCAGCCTTCCAAAGCATGTGCCATCTGCTTCCCACAGCTTGGCGGAAGGGGAGGCGGGAACCCGGGAAGGGCCGCCTGCTGCCCCGCTCGCTTCGCAGCCAAGCATCCCTGCGCTGCTACCCTCTTCCTCTGGCGGAGGAGCCCAAGCGCCGGCTTGTTCCTGAATGCACAAACGGAAACTGCGGCAAAAGCCAGGCCAGGCTTTTCTCCAAAGGCTGCCGCACCTTTCCCCTGCCTCAAACCTTTCTTCCAGCGGCCTCCATGCGGCCAGGTCTGGTGTTCCTGCCACTTCGAGACAAACCACCGGGAACTATTCCGGAAATGGCAAATACACAAGTGGTGTTTTTAGCAAGATCTACCTCTCGGGAATCCTGGGAAAGCTGCTTAGCTGCTGAAATGCAGCTGTGGCAGTGGGGAAACACACCTTGCCAGCAAGATCACCCTCAGAGACCCCGGGACGAGCGGTGCCCAGAAGCGGGGGCCTGACCTGGGGCGGCCCCCCACTGCGGAACACCTGCCCTGCAAGGGGTGTCAGCTCCACAGGCCTGGGCTTCCAAGCGCAGCGGCTCTGCCTTTTTCACCGCTCTGTCACTGTCTGCACTGCACATCCTTTGCTCTGTGGTTACACGGATTAGACTCACAGCATCACAGAGTTGGAAGAGGCAGAAGGTCCAGTCCCCCATCGCCCCTTCCTCAGTGCAGGACTCCCAGTGAAGCTGCCCAGCTGCATCTGGAATGCCCCCAGTGCGGAAGAGCCACCGCCTCCCTGGGTCACACAGTTCTCACGGACCAGGAGGTTCCTCCTGACGTCCAGCCAGAATCCGGCCTCGGGTCACTCAAGCCCGTGATTCCGTGTCCTGCACTCCGGGACGATCGAGAAGAGAGCCTGGCCTTCTGCTCTGTCACACCCTTTCAAGCACTCACAGAGTGCTACCCTATCTCCCTCAGTCTGCCCTTCTGGAGGCCAGACATGCCCGGTCCTTTCTGCCTCTCCTCACGGGGCTTTGTCCCAGTCCCCGGATCATCCTGGTTGCCCTCCCAGCTTGTCTGTGTCTTTCTTGAAGTGCAGTGACCAGAACAGGACACGAGACTCCAGGTGAGGCCAGTGCTGAGTAAAGGGGAACCAGTACTTCACATAATTTAGATTGGGTATGTTTGTTTTATTGGATTTTAAGCAAACTTGTATTAGGCCATAAATATCTTTGAAATGAAAAGGCAGAATATACATATTTTAAACCCATGCAAAGTAGGTAGCCCATGGGAGACCCGGAGCACGGACCAGCCTGGCTTCCCAGGCTTTATTCTCAGACCACCCGACCACTTGGTTCCAGCGTCACACCAAGCCTGACTCTCAAGCACTCCTCTGCCTTCTGGCTGCTCCGAGTCTCCCTGCAGGAGGCTGCGGCCCTTCAGCGGCCGGCGCCCGGGTCCTGTTACTGTGAAACTGTATCACAGCAGGTAGGGTGACGGCCAGGCCGCAGAAGGACAAAGCTCTCTCAGAGCTCATCACTAATGCAGCTGCCAGGATGAAGGAGGACTGCATCTTCCACTTAGCAAATAAAGGCCAACTAATAAAGGCCATTTAAAGGCTTGCACAGGTCTGCTGAAGAGACAGGAGAACCCTCAGCCCCCGTGGCGACACGAGAAAACTGCAGCACTGGCCAGCCACGCAGAGGGGGCCTCGGAGCAGGGTCTGAAGGCTTCTAAGGTTTTCACCCGTGACGGAGGATGCATTTCAAGGGGCAGGACCAAAATGCGCTGTGGCGTTTTGGAAGCAGCCCCGGGCTTTCTTCCGCCCCAATCTGTGCTTAAAGCTAGTTTGCCCATCGACAGCCTCCTTTCTAGGACCACCACGGTCAGTTTTGCAGGGCCAGCCTGGGGAGGAAACATTTGTGAGAAAATTTGGCTGGCCTGAATCACACTGAGGAGACACGCAGTTCTTAAAAAATTATGCCACCTGTGCTTTTTCCGGGGATTTTCCAGCAGCTCTGATAGGTGTTCTGTCAGCGTGGAAAGACTAAGCGTCTTGATGGAGACCACTTGATGGACCGGGGCTCACCACTGCCTCTGGGCCCCACGTTAACGGTCGAGCTGCACTGCCACTTCCTTGCTCTTAATTCCTGAACATCCCAGGCATGACCCTATTATGCACACGGGACCCCTAAGCTAGCCAGGTTCGGGCCAGACAACGCTTCCGGGTGCTTTGACACCCAGAGCTCTGCGATTAACTCCCTCCTTAATTCTTTCTTTGCTGACTCAATTCATTTTTATACTGACCAACTCTCTGGCTTCCTATCTGGATGCTCTGCACGGCTCTTCCAAAATCGCCAGGCTACGCAGAGGAGCCAGGCAGGGCTACTCACCGAGTTGGTTCCCAGGACCTGCAGCCGGGGCTCTCCAGACTCCAGCAGCTTGGCCACCATGTGGAGGAAGCTCTCCACAAACGGCTTGATGCTCTGTGAATGGCAAGCCATGAGGAGCTGGTCCAGGGCTTCCATGGCGATGAAGACGTATCTGAGAGACAGTCAAAGCGGAGGGGGAAGATGCCGGCCCCTCGGGAGGGAAGGCTTGGGCGCCGGCCCCGCAGCGCTCCTTCCGGCTGGCCAGTCGCACTCCACCCCACGGAGCCCGGCTCCCCAAGACGGGCAGGGCCCCACCCACGTCCCCTTGGCGAGCAGCGTCCAGCAAGCCTACGGGGCAATTCCGATTTGCCGCAGGGGAGGAGGCAGACAGCCTTCCGGGAGAGGCAAAGGCTGGCATGGCCAAAAGGAAGAGCGGAAGCGAAGGGGGCGTCGCGGCCTTACCCACAGCGGTGCCTGACGACATCCCTGCTGAGCCGCTCTGCCAAATAGGCACCGATGCGGTCGAGCTTCTCGGGGGCCGAGACGGCGTAGAAGGTCAGCTTCTCCATGTCGGCTTTGACAAGGCCATCCTGCGCAGGCGAGAGGGCCCGGTGTTGCCGTGCCGCTGCGGCGGGAGCGTCTGCAGAGCGGCTGGCGGCGCCCGTCCCAAAAGCCCTCCCTCCTCCGCTTTCCAGCGACAGCCGGAGCTGCCTCAGCCAAGGGGCTGGCAGGCGGGCCAGAAGCGCCCGGGGCTTGGCAGCCGCCCGCTGCAGCGGCAGGCCTCTCTTGCGCTGCTCGGACCAGGCTTGGTCTCTGGCCACCCGGCACACAGAGTGTGGAAACGGGAGCGTCCAACAAGAGGGAGAAATAACACGTGCACTGAATTATTGAATGTGTTGCAAGCTGCCGGGAGCGCCTCAGAATTAAGGTGCAGCATGAAGGCGATTAATGAAATAAACCTTCGACACACTTTTTTAAAAAAATAAGCAAGTCTTTGCCGCAGGGAAACAGGGCAGCCTCGCTTGGGATTTTTCACATTTTGAAAACAGCAGCCTGAAGACTCCTGTACGAAAAGGTACAGCTGAAGGCATTCAGCATCTGAACAATAACAAATATTAATATTCAGATGCAAGAAAGAGTTAGTAAAACAGCCTGGCCTGGCAGATGCCCTGATGCTTCTGCAGTACATTCTATGGATCATTAGCATCTGCAATCCAAGCACTAGAGGGGGGGACTTTGCATTCCCCCAGGGAAAAATATCAAAGGCTACTTTCTCTGCTGGGGGGGGGGGGGGGCTCCGTCTGGATTTCCTTGGCTGATTCTTTCCTGTCCTTCGGAAGACCTTCTGAATATGACCAGAAAAGCTTTGGGAATCTCATGCTGGTTTTTCTGGGCTGCAGCTTGAGCTGTTGAAGTTGCTGCTTGAAGTGTGGCTCTCCAGGACAAGAGCCCATTGAGGCCAGATTTGCAGAATGAGATTTAAACAACAGGACACAACTAAGCATCCCCGAAAGCCTGAAAGTCGCATGACGCAAGTGGCTGTAAGCATGCCCACACAAGTGGGGGCGGCTCGGCCAGAATTTCACGATGCCCAAGTCGCCTCCAGCCCCCTTATGAAGGTGGAGCTAAAACGGTGCAGATCCTCACTTACTCTGGGGTCTTCGGGGAATATGTTATCCACCAGGCGCTTGTAACGAGGGCGCAGGGCAGCACAGCAGCAGCAGACTCCTGTGAAAACCAAGGCGCTCGTAAGACACGGGGGCGTTATCTCAAAAGGCACCCCCACCGGGAGCACATGCAGCTTCTGCCACATGCGCGCCCTGGTGCGCTGCAAGTACATGGTGAACTCAAAGGTATCAGTTCTGGCCGCAGCGATGGAAAACCACACAAGGACCCGGTGCTCGTGTCGGGGCCCACAGCAAGGCACCGCTGAGACTGGGCCTCCCGGCAAGCCCTCCTGCCCCCATTTCCCATCACAACCCCAGCGGAAGACACGCCACTTTCAGATCACAAGGTACAGCTTTTCGTGCTTAGCAGCACCCCGTATTTACTTATTACACGTATATACTGCCCCGTAGCCCCCTGCGCTCTCTGGGTATTTTACGAAATTTAAAATTTTGGTGAACGGGGTGGCATAGAAGCCTCCTAAATAAATAAATAAATGACATATAAAAACGACCTATTTAAATAAGCAGTAAACAATAAAACCAATGCAACAAAAATTGACAACCCACAGCAACTGTAATAAAATTAATGTACAGCATAGCAGCAATAAAAGTACAATGAAAACCAATCTTACCGACTGTATCAAAATGTCTGGAAAATTAAAATGGTTTTCACTTGGTGCCAAAAAAAAGAACAAAGATGGTGCCAGGAGCACCTCCTTGGTGAGCATGTTCCACAGGCGCACCCCTTATCATGCCTAGGAACAGCTTGGGCAGTTCCAAACTTTTAAAAGTGGTGTTTTACAGTGCGTCGTGTCGCTGCATTTTATGGCTTTAACTATTTTGCCCAGAAAGCGTCAGCTATTCGGTGGTAAAGAAAGGCAGTAACCGAAGAATAAATAAAATATGCACAGTGAAAGACCTGGGAAGACACTGATAATGGGACAGTCTATAAAGGCAATAAATAAATAAATAAAATCTTATTCATGAGCAGAAAAATGTGGCATCACATAAGTAAATGGTTGCATGGCAACCACATTTGAAAGTACATTTAGACAGCTGAGCCAAACTGTTCTGCTCTCTAGTGAACTGAATTTAAAAACAGGGCTCCTTATGCTGTCACTGTGAACGGTTCCTTAATTCTCAAAAATGAAGACATATCAATAATACCGGAAGAGGAGCAGGAAGAAAATGTGCGGACGATGAGCCAAAGGCTGAACGAAATCATCTACAGTTGATTCAAGGTTTATTTATTTCAACTGTAAACAAATGAGATGGGGTCTCAGAACAGAAACACAGAAACAGAGCAAGTCAGAAGGGGTCTCTCGGGCCATCTAGTCTGACCCCCGGCTCCAGCCGGCTGCACTCACGACATGCCCACCATGGGCATGTCCAGCACATGGTAGACATGATTAGCTACCAAAAGAGTAGGTGTCTTAATACTCTAAATTAAGTCAACCACCTTACCCATTTAACCTTTAGAAATTGGAAACTAGTGATAGAAATCCCTTAGCAAACCATCACAAATGACCATACTGAACAAACAGCTTCAGGGTGTCTGGAAAAGCCATAGGGACTCTGGAAATGTTCACCGTTGTCCTTCCACGCAGGCACGTCTCCTTCCTTCCCATTTCCACTTCCAGTCTGAATTCAGCAAAGCGAGCAACACATTTCCAGACTGCAGCACAATACGCAACAGACGGCGAGGAGCTCCATAATGGCCAGAAGCCACCTGTTCTACATGCCCAGCCAAGGCAGGTCTTAGCAGGCACGCGTGGTGACCTGACGGAAGTAGCAGGAAGACAAACGCACACGGAAAGCGCGTCTCCGGGGAACCACGGAGGAGGAAGAAAAAGCAAGAAGAGGCTGGAAATCCCACCTCCAGTGTGAACATTCTGAGCAGGCAACTGGAGTGAGCACTCATTTACGATGCATGACTTCTTCTAACAGACTCTTCAAACGAGGACCAATCCAGTGGGATCTTTAAAAGCAATGTGGACTGCATGAACTGAGGAGAGGAGAGGAGAGGAGAGGAGAGGAGAGGAGAGACTCTCAAGGCTATCTGGAGAAAGCTGCACCGGCCTCACCCGACCGGGAGGGAAAGGAGGGGAAGCGCAGGAGAGCTCTCCTACCAAAGCACCCGCAGGGCCCGGGCTCCCAGGCGGGGTTGTAGTTGTAGGGCTTTTCTTGCTCCGCTACTGGAACTGCCACGTATGCCTTCATCCTGTTTCCTCACAGCTCCTCAGCTAGCGATTCCCTGCCTCCTTCCAGCCGGAGGTAAGCAATGCCTAAGCCAGGCGCAGGCAAGAAGCCCTTATCAGAGTAGCCCTGCACACGCAGGTCAAGAAACCCAATGCACACGAAGGCCACGTATCCAATTCCATCAACAATGCAGAGTCTTGGAAAGAAAGGAGGCTGCTGGCCCCAGGTGCCCTAGGTCATGATATCTGAGGCAGGCGCACCTTCCTCTCTCCACTTGCTAATGAGACGCACAACCAGATGAGCAACGCTGTTCTCCCCGCTCCCTCCCCGCCCACACTTACAGATGCTGCACTCCTTTTGCAGTCAAATAATGGCAGACTAAGGGAAAACCCTCAAACACGTTGAGAGATTTCCCCCGAATTGCTTGAAGACAAATGCCAGCCCTCTTCCTGGGTCTCTCGTCAAGGTGAGGCGCCTTCGGCTCTGCAGCTCAGCTTTTCCTACCAGGCAACAGGGGACTTTCCTGCGGGGGACTGTGCAGAGTGTCCCTCAGCAGCCCCAGTTTTAAATGCCTTTTTGTTTTAGTTCTCTTTGCATCCCTGCAAAGTTAGGAAGCTGTCCTTGCCTGGAGCCAGAGCCTGGGTTCATCTGCTATCCCCCGTCACCAACACTGGCTGGCAGGGGCTCTCCGGGCTCTGGCGGGCCTCCTTCTGGAGCTACCTGGAGAAGCGGGAGGCCGGAACTGGGACGTGCGGCAACAGAGGGGGAGCTCCGCGACAGGGCCGTGGCCCCCGGGCTGCGATCCCAGAGGGCGCGCCTGTCCAGAAATACTTCTCCACCATCCCACGCCATCACCTCAGGGGGCAACGCACATCGGACGCAGCAGACTGTAACCCACAGAAGCTTGTGCCACAAGAGAAACGGCACTCGTTCATGTGCCGCAGGGCTCCTTTTCGTTCGGTGGCAAAATATCTCTCTTCAGCCATTTCTTCCTATTTACAGCCTGCTTTTACTTGTTCATATTTATATCTAGCTTTCCCCCCGCAAGGTACTCAATCCTCTCTCCAGTTTATCCTCGCAACAACGCCGAGAGGTAAGTTAAGCGTTTCTCACTCGGCCACCAAAGTTTCTTGAATGGCTGTGAACGAGGCATGAGAGAGTTTTTGATCTCACAAGAAGGCTGGTTGTGCAGTATTTTGAACTCCACTCTCAGCAAGGAAGAAGCGGGTTCTAAGATGGGGTGCAACTGATTTACAAGGTGATGGTGACCAGAGTGGCAACGGTCCAGCCGCAGCAGATGAGCTTAATTTTCTTGCAGAAACAAAACTCAAACATAATTTTGCACTGAGTATATGCAAGCAAACCAAGGTATCTTTTCTGATCCAACTACCAACTTTACTGGAGAGCCCGAAGCTACTGGCAGATGAGACAGAAAATGTTGCATCTGGCTCGACAGCAAGTTTTGACACTGGGCAGCCAAACGCCAACGCCGCAGCAGCAGCAGCCAGTTTTAAAAAGAGAAAGAAAGGAAGAAAGTTTGGGGGCACAGTGTGGTGAGAGCCAGTGTGGTGTAGTGGTGAAGAGCGTGGGAATGGGACTCGGACGATCTGGGTTCGAGTCCCCACTCAGCCATGGAGCCAACTGGGTGGCTTTGGGCCAGGCACAGACTCTCAGCCCAACCTGCCTCACAGGGTTGTTGTTGTGGGGATAAGATGGAGGAGGAGAAATTATGGAAGCTGCCTTGAGCCCTTTGTAGGAAAAAGGCAGGATATAAATTGAAAAATAAATAAATAAATAAATAAATAAATAAATGCACGTGTAAACAGAAAAAAGTTCTACGACTCTGCATTCCCCAGGCGGCTGTGCTGGCTCATCAGGCTAGCTGGGAGTGATTGCCCACTTTCCCATCTAAATACGCCTGGGATCCTGCCCTTAAGCACTCTGGCCCAAACTTCCAGACGCCTTCCGGATGTGTCGGAGGGCAGCGCCAGAATCCCTCGGCCAGCGTGGCATCCAGACAAGCAACAGACGAGCGTGTGCGACGCCAGGCTTTGGGGACCACCACCACTCCCGAACTGAGCGACCGAAACAGAATGCTTCTCAATTACGTGCATTTTAAAGATTCCGTTCAAAGCACATTTGGGGCATAATTTTCGGTCATGCAAAAGCACGCACAGCATTTTTATTTATCTATTTTATTATGTACTGAATGATCAGTGGGCAGATTTTAAACAGCACTAAAATGCTAAACTGTCATACAAACAGTTACAAAACATAAAAGACAATGCTAATATTTCAAAGACTAAAAGCCAGAGCCAGGCAGCTCAGGGAAAATACCCAGCAGCCATGAAACCCAGAATTTGGCCTCTAACACACCTGGGCAAAAGGCCTTCGCCTGGCACCAGAATGCTAACAGTGCAGCCACCAGGCCAGCCCCTCCACAACAAGGGGCCACCACCGAGGAGGTCATCTCTCCCCTGGCCCCTGCGTGCCTGACGTCCTCCAGAACGGGCTCCGAGAGAGCCCCACAGATGCCCCAAGGGTGTGAGCAGACACAAACCGGAGGAGACGCTGCCTGCGATGCCTCCACGCACGCAGCCCCCGCCCGTCCGACAGGCATGAATGCTCCCTTCACGCAGCCTTCCTCGACACAATGTCCTCCAGATGCGTTGCCTACAACTCCCAGAGTACCCCAGCCAAGCACGCAAGCAAGCAAGCAAGCAAGCGAGCAAGCAAGGGGGGGGGGGTGGCTGTAGTCTGCGGGCACCCTGTTGGGGAACGCTGGCCTAGGTCGCACTTTGCATTTAGTGTCAGCGTTGCGTTTGTTTTGTTGAGAGCATCGCCTTCAGGAGTTGCCAATTCACCACCGCACTCAAGAAAAGGGATGCACCATTCGCCCTGAGAAAGCATGCCTGGGGAGGACGGCCAAGGACGGGCAGGACGCCACGCGTGTGGCAGCAGAAGCAAGGCCCACGGGGCTCTCACGGGGCTTCTCACACGCGAGGCCGCTCAGCCAGCCGTGAATTCGGTGGTTCAAAGTCACTCTGCTCACTTACAGAAGGCATTTTAAAAAAGGATGCCACCCCCTTTAAGTAACGGCCTTTCTCTTAAAAAGAGGTTTTTTCTGGCAGGGGCAGAGAATGCCTGGATAACTCAGACATTCAGTCATGTCTTTAACCCTGGGAAAAAAGTGACTCAGGAAAGAAACTGATCTTATATTCGAGACGTAACATACAAAAGCAAAGATGATCCTCATCGGGACTCAGCACAGGGATTCACAACTTCTACACAAGTTTAAATCTAAAGGTCACAGAAAAGGACCCTGCTTGGTCTGGAATGGTGGCCCCCACTGCACTGCGATCATACCCTTTACCAAGCTTGTACACAAATGACGAAATCAGCGCTTCTGGACTCGTCCCACTATGATGCCACGCCTTTTACGCAAAATGGATTAGCCATACTTGAATGATAAGCATTAGCTTTTTGTCTCCCAGCATTATGACATTCCAGAGCGCTCCCATCTTGAGCTTGCGCAGGGAGCAGAGCTCCTCAGAGAGGTCCGCCTGGCGCCGTCGTTGTTTGTTTTTCGGCGCCAGGTGAAGACCTTTTTATTCAAATGTTATTTTAATTGTTAATATTATTTATTTTATTTTTCGGGCCAGGTCGACTCAAATTATATTATATTGCTTTACAATGTGCTTATTTATTTATTTTTGTGAGCTGCCCCGAGGCTTCGGCGAATGGGGCGGCATAGAAGCCTTCTAAATAAGTAAATAAAGAAACCTTCCCCCACGCGGCTGCGGAGCGGATCATGGCCCAACTCTGGAACTGCTGGAAGTCTTTGCAATAGCAGCTGCCCTCAAAGCCCAGTTTTTCTACAGATTCCTGGTGAATATCTAGGGTGCCTGCCACCGCGAGGAGGGCTGCATTTCCAGAGAGGCGATGCACCATGCGCTGGTCCATTTTCCAGAAGAGGTTTCTTCCCACGGACTGGCTCTCGAATTCAAGATCTGACGCTCCCAAAAACACGTTATTAGCGGGCTGCGGTACTTACTGCCAGGCATCGTTCTTGTGCTGTTTGGCTTCTACTTCTCACGATGTGACGCTGCAAGAAAAAGGAAAGCTGCCATGTCAAAGCCATCTGACCCTCCCAGGCGCTCCCGCCGTCGACGCAGAGGCGGCAGAGCCGGATTCCGCTGAGGATCTGCGCCCCCCATGCCCAGATCCACCATCCAGCCACTGCCCCCGCTCACCGGTGGGCCATGGCACCTTTCCACACTCGCCTGCTGCACACTGGTGCACCTCCACAGGGCACTCTGCTTGCTCGCAAGGTGCAGAATTAACTGCTGAGCCAGCCTTGATTTAAAATCTAGAGAGAGAACGGCGGGGAGCCTCCCGTCCTGCACAAAAGCCCAGCTTTCTGAGGTAGCTTGTGCCTCACGCAACTTGGGTGCTTCCAACTGCTGTCCATCTTCTAACCAGGCTATTCACTAACGGAGGCCAAGAGCAACCTGTCCGAGGCTGCAGTGGGTCCACGGTGGCGCTGGGCCTGGGATCCGCACCTCCACAGTCCCCCTTTCTCTCCCGCATGACGGCACGGATACGTCTGCCCCCAAAGCGAAAGGGCAACCGGTAACGTCAACTCTAAAAAAGACCTCCATGCAATACGGCCTCAGTTTATAACTGGGCACGAGGAAACAGTAAAGCCACCAGAAACTCTTGGAAATGAAGGGAAAGAGAGGAGAGGATAAATGAAACTTTTGCAGAAGATGCAATCTCTGAAATGCAGTAAAAGATACTGCTGATGGAACAAATTCCACACGTTCCCACACTGTTCTGCTTACTGATGTTTTATTTGTAAAATGAAACTGGCGCGGTGGTTTGAGAGGTCCGGGTTCCAGTCCCTGCTTAGCCATGAAGCGCCTCCTAAGGGCCTTTCTAAGCCCAAGCTTCCCCGCAGGATGGCTGCTGCGAGGACAAAACAGAGCTATGTAATCTGCCATGGTTTCCTCACGAGAAGAAAAAATGCAATGCAGTCGTGAGGATGAGGATGGTGAGAGAGGCCTGCCACTGCAGCAGCATTAGCCAGAAGCGGGCTGCGGTGGGGGGGGGGGGGGCTCCGTGTCTGCACAGCTCCCTCACTTTTCCCATTGCTAGAAGGAGACCAAGGTCCCACAAGAAGGCCCACTAATCCCATAAGTAAGATGCACCGGGAGCTTCCAGTGAGAAATACCAGCCCCGTCCGTCCTTCAGTTACGATTAGCAGGACAACCTGCAGTGACGACTCAGAACAGAATCGCAGAGGCAAGCGGCTCAGGGACAGCACCGCGAGGCCGAGCACATTGCTCCTGGAAGGGCCCCTGTCCCAGTGCCTGGAGGACGTGGGCACCCGGAGCTCCTGAGGAGAGCCCCGCGGCGCAACAGGGGACAGGCGATGCTCGGGGCACGCTGCAGCTGCAGTGGCTCTGCCGTGCACTCTCTCCTGGGGGCCGGCGCTTTGCCTGGCTGCCCGGGTTGTCCTCCCTTCCAAGCACTGCCCGAGCAAACCGGCTTGGCTCCTGCCTGCCTTCAGGTCGTTCCACAGAAGGCAGTCCTCTGCCCACACGTGGCTCCAATTCTCAACTAATACATCATCCCAGGCAAGGGAACACAGAACCATAGAAGCAGCGCGAGTCGGAAGGGGCCTCCGGGCCATCTAGCCTGACCCCCGGCTCCAGCCGGCTCTGCTCACAACATGCCCGCCATGTGCACGTCCAGCCTGTGCTTGGACAAAGCTGGACTTGTGCACAATGCGGATAAAGTAGACAAAGACACATCTTTCTCCCTCCCTCGTGATACAAAACCCAAAGAGGCCATCCCTTGATGCAGATGGAGATTCACAGCGGAAGGAAGGAAGGAGCCCTTCACGCGGCACTCCGTAAATTAAGGAGCCCGCAAGGCCGAGTGGTGGCCTTGCTCTCGGAGGAGAGTGGGCAGATCCATGGAAGAGGAGGAGGCTGTCCGTGGCTGCTGGCAGCGCGCTACCTCCGGCCCCAGAGGCAGCCTGCGCAGGCACCCAGTTGCTGGGGCACAGGGGCAGGAGGATGCTGTAGCAGCCGTCCCCTGGCCTTGCACAGGCAGCTGGCTGGCTGCTGAGAGAACCAGATGGATCCTAGATCTGACGCCACAGGGATCTTATGCTCTTTGGCTTCGTCCTGTTCGAGCAAAGAAACTGCCCTTGCTTAGGGCATCGTTGTCCGAGCTCTAGAAATCTGAATTTTCACACACACACACACAACACATGAAACCTGTTGATACTACTTGCATTTATTAATAACATTGTGTGTCTAAAGGAATTTCTACTGAAACCCTCTATAAGTACCTCAAAGGCTGTCCCAAAGAGGAAGGTCAGGATCTCCTCTTGCTGACGCCAGAGTGCAGGACACGCAATAAGCAATTCAAGCTGCAACAACCCAGATTCAGGCTGGACGTCAGGAAACGCTTCCTCCCTGTCAGAGCAATGGGGCAGTGGGACCGGCTGCCCGGAGGGGGGGGGGCTCTCCCACACTGGAGGCATCCAGAGAGAGACTGGGCAGCCCTCTGAGTGGGGTGGTGTAAACTGGTGTCCTGCAACAGCAGGGGTTGGACTATATGGCCTTCATGGCCCCTTCCAACTCTGCTATTCTACGATTCTATGAAACACAGTTATGCAATGCTTCCTAAATCTTTCATAGAGGGCACAATCCACGTGGAGATCTTCCCACACAAGCACCAATGAAGCAAGTAGAAACTACTCAGCAGCACCTTCTGCAGCACCAAATGTTTCTGTGACGCTTGCACAGAACCTCAAGGTGGATTGTGTGCTTAGTTTCGTAAGCAGGACACATGCCAAGGAATTCTCGGCATCGCTCACAATTAACCACCATTCCCTTCAACGCTCCTCTTTAAACACAGAGGGCTCAAGGATGAACCCAAGCACACCATGAACAGCCGAGCGGCACGAGCGCTTTCTGCACAACTGCAGGAAAACGACACGGAAGGTGAAGGAATGGGGAGGTAATGGAACTGCGTGTGGGGGCTGTGATGAGGACTATGTAACGGCTTCCCTGGATTTATAAGCTTTTGTGGGTGCACCTTTGTTTTCTGTCTGATGCAACTTCACGTCTGAACATACCACATTCCAGACTGAGATTTACGACTACTGAGTGTCACAAAGGACAAAAACATGAATGCTGTGCCTACTTAAAGAAAATTAGCAGCGGCTTATTTTGCTACCTAAAACTTAAAAACAGAGTTATTTATTTATTTATTTATTTTTCGATTTATAGCCTGCCCTTTTCCTACAAAGGGCTCAAGGCAGCTTACATCATTCTCCTCCTCCATCTGATCCCCACAACAACAACCCTGTGAGGTAGGCTGGGCTGCGAGTCTGTGACTGGCCCAAAGTCACCCAGTTGGCTCCATGGCTGAGCAGGACTCGAACCCAGGTCGCCTGAGTCCCAGTCCCATGCTCTTAACCACGACACCACACTGGCTCTCACTACACCACACTGGCTTTTAAAAAGTTAAAGCACTTTTTAAAAACATCGCTGTTCTAATGGAGATTACAAATAAAGGCATTTGCATAACCCTGTTATTGTACCACATAAAAGTTCGATAAATATTCATTCTGGATTTTATTCCACAGGGAGAATGGAAAGTGGGATCTGTTAATCCACATTTTGTATAGCCCAAACAGACAAGAAATGACGCAGATCGCAGATCTAAATGTCAGCCACTGAGACAAAGACCTCCTCCACAAAGTCGTGTTGCAAATAACACAATGGCATTTATCAGCTTTGTTGCCTTTCCTTTCCTGCCAAGAATTCAGGGAAGCACAAGCTGGGCTGCAACTCTATCCTCACGACGACTCAGAGAGGAACAAGCAAGCTACGGGAGGGCGGGAGGTATCCAGGATGGCGGCCCATCCAGCTACGGGGCTCCAAAACAAGAACAAGGATGTGAGAAAGGCACACGCCATGTGGTGCAGGGGCGGAGGATGCCGGCACTCACGCAGCGTGACGGGCAGGCACTTCGGCCGGGGAACTCTTGGCGCCTCTGTGCGAGACTCCAGAGGGGACTCTTACAGGGACTGTGGCGAACGGGCAGGTTCGGGGGCACGGCGGCATCCAAGCCAAAGTGCACTGAGGGCACAATCCTACGCACACTTCAACAGAAAAAGGCCGTACCTACTCCCGGGGAGACCCAGCTGGCATCCCTCGCAGGGAATATCCCCCCCAGCATATTTCTCGGTCCAAATGTGCCGAGAGCTGCACCAAAGCCCATCTGAACAGTTCTTTCTAAGTGCCAATGCTCTGAAATGCAACGGAAGCCAGGGAAGTGCGTCGCAGAGAACCAGTATGAGCCATCAGCTTAGTTTTCCATCCCGTGGCTGGGGCCTGCCAAACTGCCTGGCTAGGCATCCACGCCTGGAGCAACTATACCCAAAGGGCATTCAAAACAGCCCACACATTGCTGGTATAATCCTAAGTGTATGTTATTTGTCAAACTGTATATGGATAGAGAAGGCTCTTTAAAATATGCATAATTGAAGTTGCTAAAATAACCCATGAAAGGCCTGTAAAAAGCAAAACAAAACAATAAAACCAAAGCAAAGATAGCCTTGAAAAACATCCAGTTTTACTTTATCACAGGGGAAGCGAAGATGCCAAAGCTGTTTTGGGATCATTGTGTCCTTTCCACAACAGAAGCTTCACTGGTATCTTCCAAAAGGTAGGCATGTGTTCTTTAGGCCATGAGAACAAAATCTCTTCTTTGGAGGACTGAGTTCTGAAAAGCCTGATTAGGAATTTGCAAAGGCTACTTTCCAGAATAAAGTCACATTCACAAATCCGCCCTGTCCAGTACACACTTTCCCCATGAACGACCCACATTCCATTATGAGTTTCCTGCTATGCCACTGGAAAGGTTGTCAGCGGAATTCACACGATCCCAGAGCTCCATGCAAAGGCTGCCGGATCTGCACGGCCTCTCAAAGCTCTCCCGTTGCTCTGGCAGGTACCTATCCTGTGCAGAAATGGCAGGTTCCGACAGACAGGCCGCCTTGACGGAGAGTCTCAAAATGCGCCATTCCTCAGTGAAGCAGGAGGACACCGAATTCAGCAGGCAAGGACACCGCGAGACAGCATCGCTCCAAACTCCACATGCTGCAAAACGGCTCTTTGCCTTTGCTGCGATTATGATGCCTGCGAGCGGAAGGGCACTTTCCCCTTTGGTTGTGGTGCATGGAAAAAATCATGACTGAAAGCGATTTTCAGTCCCAGACAATCACCTTGTTGAAGGGTTAAGGATCTGAAACCCTTAAGCATTACATTTCTAGCCACCACAGAGTGGACTTGTGAGAACCACCCATCCATGTGGCCAGCTAAGTTGAAGTACCGACCTCAAACACATTTCTCACGGAGTCTTCTATGGGGGAAATGCTCGCGTGGGTGTCTGTGCAAAGAGCCCATTTCTCCTCATAAGCTGGCAAGGATTCATTATACAATCAGCATCGCCCCTTGCTCAGAGAGTCACTCGTCCTCCGGAGGAAAGCTGTCTGTCACCTCTGCCTTAAAAATATTGGGAACCCTATTGCTCCCCTCCC